CCCGCCCCCCATAGTACTGGCATTTCAGGCCTAGGAGAGGCACCTCCCTCCCCCGTTGCACGATGGGATCTGTAGTGAGACTTGTCTCACGTCGGGTTAGGCGCTGCCCTACCTGCGATATAAGTGTATGTTTTCATCAACCCCTCGGACCTTATCTGTGCTCTCAAAAAGGTTTAAGATTATACTAGTCTTTATAATGAAGTCCCAATGTTTGCCTGAATTCCTGGCGTCAAACTTTAATTAAAGTCGCCGAGGACCGTGTCCTGAAAGACCAGTGCGACTCTCCCCGGTGTGTGTCTTGCAGCACTAAATGTTGCATGACGCGTGTTCAAGTTTGCATAAACTGTGCCCACTATGCTGAATGCGTGGATCGAGGCTGGGGTTCGGTAAAGGGATACCCCCACGCTCAGGGACAGACCGCGCACACAGTGGGCCCACGCCCTCTTACCCTCCACTAGGCGGCACGCACGCGGCTGACGAGCCACGCCGCGCACGCACGCGCGCACGCGCGCACGCGGGCGGGCAGGGGAGGCACCGCGCATGCTCGCTGCGCCGGCGCAGAGTTCCGCAGCCGAGGAGGCAGCTCCGCCGCGGCGTCTGGAGTCTCCATTAGGGCCAACGCGCCAGTAATCCCAGCGCTCTCCCTCTCGGTTGGCAGCGGGCGCCCCTCTGCTCCCCGAGTTCCCGGCCGCCGCCAGCGCGCCCCAATCTGGCCCCCTGCCCCGCGAAAATGGCCGCCGTACGCCGGGCCCGCAGTTACTGCCGCTGCCTGGTGCGCTTCTCCGACCGAGAACTCTGCTAAGCCTCACTGCAGCACCCCAGCAGGATAGACACCCGACACCCAGCACCCTTCCCAGAGGGGACGGTGCGGAGGGGGCGCGGAGAGCCCCTCGACCGCGGCCAGCCGCCCCGCCACCATGGTAACCTGGGGAAGGGGCTCGGAGCAACACCCGGGGGGCCGGGGCCAGGCCTGGGGAGCTGCGGGGCCGCAGGAAGGAGATCAGGTCCGGGGGGTTGGAGACGCTCGGCAGCCCTCCTCGCAGGTGGCCCTGGCACGAGAGGGTGAGCGAGGTGCCCGGCTCCGACCCACCCCCAAGCCCGGAGGGGGCGCCGGGTTTACTGGATAGCCGGGGCACAGTTTCTTCTAGACGCCCCCCTGTGCATCCTGAGCCAGGTTTGCCCTTCTCGGCATGTTCTCGAAAGCAGTGAGCTTAGACTGAAGGGAGCCTTGGTAGGTTCTACATAGGGGGACGTTGCCGCCGGTCAGCAGAGACACTTGTTGATCGCTCCCCCTAGGGAGCCTCGCCTTTGCTGCCGTGCTTTCCAGCCCCGGTAAGGAAGCCTTAAATTAAGGCTTCAGACGCAATGGCCATTGGCATCAGTGCTCTTGGGAGGTGTTGGCAGGCGGTCTTGGCAGCAAGAAGTCCCTGTCTCACTTCACAGCTATTAAGGCCTGAGAAGGGTCAGTACCCTCCAGATGAAACCCAGCCAAGGCCCGGGAGTTTGACAGCGCAGATTCTGTGGGTCTGCTGCATGCTGGAATATGTAGTCTGTGCCCTATGCAGTCTGGTTTGTGCAAGTCAGAAGCCTCTCGTTGACTTCAAATGTAGTGCCCACCTGAGAAAATAACCTCTGGCCAGCGTTGAACGTCAGGTTGAACGAAGTGGTACCCAATTAAGTAGCCATAGTAGAAACTCACATATTTATTTGGTAAATGGTTGACTGTTTTTTTTAAATTAAATTAATGTAGAAATTAAAAAGCATGAGAAAGAAGGGGCTTTCTGCTCTCTTAGAGTTAGTCTTTGAAACTCAGGCAGTTCTACCCTGTCCTACAGATTCACTATAAATTGGAATCAACTCGATGGCAGTGAACTTGTTTTGGTGAGAAATACAGAAAGCACTAATTGACTTTGTCCTTAAACCTTCAGAAGCAATTCTCTGAGACTAGGCTTAAGCACTTAATTTTACAATCTGAAACAGCAGTGAATGTGAAATACATGAATTACTGAGGAAAATACTCGTGAACAACTCAAGGGAGAGGTCACTAGATAAAACTCCATTATGAAAAAATAAAATGACAATCTCTGACAGGTGAATCCCATTGATTATGGGTAACATTGCTAAGAATGGGAATTCCAAAACACTTAATTGCTTAGGGTTTAAAGCAGAAAAAGTGTGTCAGGGTTTTATTCTTTCACCATCCTTGTTCAGTCTGCTGAGCACATAATTTAAGAAGCTGGATTTTATGAACAGGATATGGCATCAGGATTGGAGGAAGACTCTGGGTCCACAATCAACATTCGTGGAAGCGGCAATCAAGAAGTCAGCAGATTTGCACAGGGCAGATCCGCAGAAGATCTCTTTGAAATGTTAAAAAGCTGTCACTTTTGAGAGCCAAAGTCTCTCTGAGCGAACCATGATATTGTCAGTGTCCTCACAAACTGGACAGTGATGAGGGACGACTGAAGAAGAATAGATGCTTTTGAATTTCGATGAGAAATATTAAATATACCATGGACAGCCAGAAGAACAAACAAATCTGCTTTGGAAGAAGTCACAGCCTGAATGCCCCTTAATAGTAAGGATGGTGATACTTCATCTCACATACTTTGTCTTTGTCATCAAGACGAGTCCCTGTAGGATATCATCCTTGGTTAGCTGGAAGGTCAAGGAGAGAGGAAGACCCTCCAGGAGATGGATCGACACTGGTTGTAACAATGGGTTCAACAGCAAGATTGTGAGGATGACTTAGGACCGGGCAGCATCTTGGGGTGTTTTGTGTAGATTCACTATAAATTAGGATGACTTGATGGCATCACCACCAGATCCCACATTTTATAGTCTCTTAGTGCTCTTTTTGGTTATTTTTTAACTGGCAGGAATCAAAATAAGAACAACGAATAGGAACAGTGGTTCTCAACCTTCCTAATGCTACAGCCCTTTGATACAGTTCCTCAGGTTGTGGTGAGCCCCCACCAACCATAAAATTACTTGCTACTTCATAACTAATTTTGCTACTGTTATGAATCGGGCAACCCCTGTGAAAGGGCCATTCGACCCCCAAAGGGGTTGCAACCCACAGGTTGACAACTGAATTAGAACATTGTTACAATACAGAGCTCGGGAGAAAGTTCAACAGATGTAGCCAAGTGAAGGAGAAGGTGTCCCACATGAAGAAAGGTACAGGAAAGCCTGGACACTGCTGGCGTAGATAGTTTTCACACAGGAGCCCGATGCTGCTGTGGGTTAGGTGTTCAAACCCACCAACCACTCTTGCGGGAGAAAGATGAAAATGCTCCCATTACAAACTATAGTGGTTTTTTTAAAAAAAAAAATTTTATACTGGTTTTTTGTTGTTTTTTGCTGGGGAGTGGGGTGGGTTTGATTGCAGGAATAAAGTAGGCTCTTATTTGAAGAAAAGGAGAAATAATGCTTCTCAGTGAGATCTATACATTCTAAGTCTCTGATACTAAAGTAAAACTTAGGAAAGACAGCATACGTGGAGAATGGAAACCTGTTAAAGAAGGAAAACTCAAACATCTCCCACGCACAGTGGGAGAAATCAGTGCTAAACCTCCTCTGTCGGAGGCGGGGGAATGTCTGAGGCATGGGGAAACTGGCCTCCAGTACTCAGAAGTTTGTTTCACTGTATGTATTGACGGCTCGTGATGTCTCCAGTAAGAAAAGTGTCTAGCTCTCAGAGACGCAGAAAAAACGTACGTGGCAATGTTTTAAATGATCCCATTTGCTGTTGAGCTCAATTTTCTGGAAATTCCTTCCAGTTGTTGGCCTCATTTATTTATTGCTCTATCCTTTCCCGAGTGCTAAATGTTGTACCATTTACTCCTAGTCCATGAGTCTGGTGGCCAGAGATAAGACTTATTTTGAGCTGTAAGTTAGTGGAAGTATATGTGGTTGCTGCTTTCAAAGGTTTGCCTAAATCCAATTTTTCCCAGGAAATAAAATTGTTCAATAAAAGCATGATCATCCTTAGAACAGAGAACGTTAAATAGGCGTTACTTCCTTTCTGGCCACTTTCAAGGTTGTTCCTCTGATTGCCATATTTCTTCTTTGGACGGAGTGCTGAATGTTGAGAAAGCTCCATTTGCTAATACATGTATTAACAAAAGACTGGTCTGAAGAAACATTTCCTTTTCCTGAGTAGTAGGCTTCTGTTTAATTTAGTAAACATTTGTTGAGAATAAAAATATAAAATGGAGTTTGACCTGAGACCTCGTTGTAACCCCAAACCATACATAGTAATTCCAGTCCAGCCCTTCATACTAAACCAGTCTAATATCTGAAAGTCTGAGTTTATAGAGCTTTTGCTATTACATATCTTTAAAAAGCTTTCTTAATATAATGTATATATTCGAGTATAAGCTGAGTTATTCACACATTTTTATGCAGTTTTTTTGTGGTAAAATTAGGTGCCTTGGCGGATATTCAGGTCAGCTTCTACTCAAGTATATATGGTATGTAAATTATCAGTAAGCAGATGAAAGTAATTTACATAGAACATATTTAATAACATGCTGGTTTTGTAAAAGGAGGTACATTTATATGTGGATTATAGCCCTGTAAGTGATGTGTGAAACAAAATCTACTTACTGAATGTTCACCACAATGAAATCATATTTGTTTGGGGTTTTTTCCCCCCAAAACTAAAGTATTATTTTAATTAAAAGGTCATTTTATTGGGGGGCTCTTAAAACTCTTAATCCATACAGCAATTGTATCAAGCATATTTGTACGTATGTTGTCATTATTTTCTAAACATTTACTTTCTATTGAGCCCTTGGTATCATCTACTCTTTTTTTCCTTCCTCCCCTGTTTCTCCTTCCTTCTTGACCCTTTGTTATTTTTTAATTTTTATTTTTTTGTCATGTCTTACACTGTCTGACATCTCCCTTCACCCACTTTTCTGTTGACCATCCTCCAGGGAGGAGGTTATATGTAGATCCTTGTAATTGGTTCCCCCTTTCTATCCCACCTTCCCTCCACCCTCCAGGTATCGCCACTCTCACCACTGGTCCTGAAGGGTTCACCTGTCCTGGATTCCCTGTGTTTCCAGTTCTTATCTGTACCAGTGTACATCCTCTGGTCTAGCTGGATTTGTAAGGTAGAATTGGGATCATGATAATGGAAGGGGAGAAAGCATTTAAGAACTAGAGGAAAATTGTATGTTTCATTGTTGCTACACTGCACCCTGACGGGCTCTTCTCCATCTGCGACCCTTCTGTAAGGGGATGTCCTTTGGGTCCCCACTCCACACTGCCCCTCATTCTCAATGATAATGATTTTTTGTTCTTTGATGTCTGATACCTGATCCCTTCGACACCTCGTGATCACACAGGCTGGTGTGCTTCTTCCATGTGGGCTTTGTTGCTTCTCAGCTAGATGGCCGCTTGTTTACCTTCAAGACTTTAAGACCCCAGATGCTGTATCTTTTTTAGCCGGGCACCATCAGCTTTCTTCACCGAAATTATTTTCTAACCAGTTACCAAAACGTTTAAAATGAACCCAGCGTATCAGATTTTATCTGATTGGGATCATTAAATTTACCCAATAAGCTATTAAGAGGGAAGCAATATGAACTTCATTGGCATGAAACCTGTATTTTCTGTTCTGGTAATTGCTGACGTTTAAGGGCCTGATTTTTTTTTGTCTTACCCCTGACTCGGTTATATTTGGAATAACTGCCATAACACTTTTGATAGTACATTTCAAAAATGCTTCCTGGTAGGAAACAACTTAAGAGGTAGTCTTCCCCACCCCCAAGAACCCTTACCAGTCACTTTGTAGCTAAACACATCTTCCTAGATCGTGCTACAGTGCACAGGATATAAGAAAAAAAGAATATGCTTAACACCTTAGCAAAATACAGACAGTGGAGACTGAAGTGTGTGTGTGTGTGTGTGTGTGTGTGTGTCTCGTCAGCAGTCAAACAAGGTTGGCCAACAAATAAATAGCCAAGAAAAAGTGGGAGGAGAGGAAACATTTAGAATTGAGACCAACCAATTGCATGATATGGACCTTACTTGAATTTTGATTCCAGAAAATATGTATATTTACAGGTGACATTTTGTGAAATTAGCATATGAATACTCTTGACGGGGCACATAACCCATTGACATTGAGTTGCTTTTGACTCATAGTGGTCACTATATAAGGTTTCTGAGATAAAAATCTTTGTGGAAGTAGACAGCCTCTTATTTTTGCCTCGGAGCAGCTGGTAGATTTGAACTGCTTTCCTCACGGTTAGCAGCCCAGCGCCTAAATCACAGTGCCACCAAGATTCTTTGAGTACTTGATATAAAGCTTTTTCTCCACCTTGATAATTACTGAAGTTGAGTCATAGGTAATTGGGGAATAATTAATTAATGATTAAATACTGTATATGCTTGTGTATAAGCCGAGTTTTCCAGCACATTTTTAATGCAGTTTTAGTGGTAATATTAGGTGCCTCAGCTGATATTCAGGTCGGCTTATACTCAAGTATATATGGTATATTAACTGTTTTTAATATGTTTAAAAGTTGCAAGTGTACACTTTTTTGTGATAGAACTAAAAAAAGAAAACCAAAAGACTAAGTCCTGTTTTCTGTATTTTAATGTGGATGGCGGGTAAAGTACAGTCTCAATAACTGATAATGGATTTTCATTTTCTTGGAGATAATGTATCCTCACTGTTCTTATCAGTCAAAAATGCATTGAATTAAATGGAAATGAATGTTTTTCTTGTAGATTTCCAGTAAATGTCATGTTTATTGATTGAAGAGTTGGTTTCATTACATTAGCATGAAAAAATACTATGGACTGATAATTTACATGTAATTAGATTAATTTGGGGGTGAAAATGCTGATGTTAAATTTTGGAGCGAAGAATGTTCAGATGCACAGCAAGATTAATACTGGGTTTGGGTCAGAGGGTGTGCGTATCAATCTCGCTTTCCTGTAGAGGTGAAGGAAGTACGGCCCCAACGAAGTCCAGAGTCTTGATGCCCAAATTGCGGTGCTCAAGCTCTTGAGATTATGGTACTAGACAACAGATAGCTGATAGCAGATAGAGGTTACAAAAGATTTTTGCATATTCTTGGTCATTAGTTGAGTTTTCTTTTCTTTAGGCAGAAGCTGAGGAGGAAGATTGTCATTCTGATACGATCAGAGCAGAAGACGATGAGGAAAATGACAGCCCTGCTGAAACAGATCTGCAGGCACGTTTACTTCAATCTGTATTTTTATTCCGTGGCTCTTTGATTGCCTTCATACACAAACAGATCGGTCACAATGATGAAGATGTGTGGGTTTCGTTTGCATTGGATTAACTGTATTCTCATACCAATTTATGGAATACTTACACGCTAACTGTATTTTAGATTTCTTTTCTTATAAAAAGAAATACCAATCATTGCTGCTTTGTAGGTGATAAATGGGTTTAAAACATTCAGAGTTTCACTGTGACTCAAACTCCTAGCCACAAAGGAAGATTGACAGGTTTGATGGCTGTAAGCCTGAGACTCAGAGCAGAAGACAGCATGAGGTGTAGAGAGACCATGAATTCGAAAACTTCACCACCTATGGCCAGAGGCTTGATGTCCTCAGCATATGGAGCATTCTTAAGAATTAGGAAGAGGAGCGGAGAATGAAAGATAGAAATATAATGGGAGAAACTAAAAGGCAAGCATGTAAAGAGATAACCCATTACCCTCATTAGTCATGAGAAAAGGACCTGTCACGGCAGAGCTGTTCTGTGTCCGCTGCTAACCAGGCAGCTGCCCATAGGAACTCGGCAAGCTGGCTGCTTGGCACACCGTAGCCGTACGCGGAGAAACCCCGTCAGCCCAGCGAACACTGGAGCGGGTCTACTCCGATGGCAGCCAACAACAGTAATGAAAAATAGAAATTAAACCTACAATGAGACAAAGAATTGAAAACCACAGTTCACTTAGTGAATAATGCCCGCTATTTAGGTCGTGAGGACCTTTGGCACTGTACTGAAAGCAGTGATTGCTGTAAGGTTCCTGGAGGGCCGACAAGGCAATAAGTGTTAAAATAGAAAATAGGCCTTCTCTTATCCAGCAGTTGGTCCTACATACTAGGGAAAGTGAGTACATTTGCGGCATTGCTTATGTTGGAAAAATGAACTCTTCATCTGAGTCGCACTTGAGTAAACTGATGATGCCTTCATACATGAGATTCACTGCAGTCAATTCAGAGGGTGATGTGAATTTTTATACATTGAAAACATCTCTCCCAGTTAGTTGAGTGTTCGTTTTGTTTTAAAGATCCAGTGGCATCGGATCACCTCGGGGGCTCCTCGTGTTGGCCTGCTCAGCGCCACAGCGTTCTCAAGGCTGTAACTCTTCAGACACCTCTCAGCAGGCCTTGCTTCCAAGGGGCTGCGGGGCAGGTTCAAACCTCCAGCCTCTCACTTGGCAGCTGAGCACTTAACCAAATCCATAATGCCCAAGGACGTGGGCAACTCAAGCTAATATTTGTTTGGAATGCACCATCTAGCAGAGGTGGACAGTGTGGCGAAACAGTCTGTAGGTCAGAAGTGTGTGCGCACTCAGTGTGAGAGGGGAGAGGGTATGGCTAGTGTATAGATTGTACAGACAAGTCAGTCTACAGTTCTGTGTCTGTGCTGCTTTTCATTTATTTTCCATATGCTCCCTTTTAAGCCGATGACCCTCTTTGGGAGGCGGAATACCCTGAGTGTCCCAGGAAGGCAGCTCTGGTGATTACCAGGCAGGTAGTTAATTAGGGCGCTGACTTGGGGGTCTCGAGAGACACAGAACCGGTGAGACAGGTAGCGAGATAGAGATACAAAGACACTTAGGGCGGGATTGATGTGCTATAGGGAATTGGATCACACCATTGTGGGGTTGGCCAGTCCAAAAGGAGCCTGGTATTTCAGAGGTTCAGCATTTGCTGCTTCAGCAGAAGTTTGGCCATTCAAGCCCACTCTCCACTCCACAGGAGAAAGGTGATAATCTGCTTCCACCCTGTGGGAAGTCCTCTGTCCTGTAGTGCTGCTGTGAGCTGCAATCAACTCAATAGCAGATTGAGTTTTGTTTGGGTTTGGGGGCAAGGTAACAGTCTGGAGAGCAGCAGGCTTCCACGCTAAGCTGTCTGTAGGCCAGATGGCTGGAAAAGTGAGGTGACACCTCTGCCCAGACATCTCTGTGGAGCCCACAGGCAGAACATATCCTAAGGAAATGCCCTTTTTGCTCTTCAAGGGTTCAACTGAATAAATGGTTTTATTGGATTAGTTATATTAACAGTGGTTCTCAACCTGTGGGTCGCAACCCCTTTGGGTGTCAAATGACCCTTTCACAGGGGTCACCGATTCATAACAGTAGCAAAATTACAGTTAGGAAGTAGCAACGAAAATAATTTTATGGTTGGGGGGTCACCACAACATGAGGAACTATATTAAAGGGTCACGGCATTAGGAAAGTTGAGAACCAAGGTCATTACTATTCATTATTGGAGGTAGCCTACTTAAAATGGATTGATTTAATCCATAATAGCAACCAGATTAGTGCTGGGCCAAACAATTGGGAACCAGAGTCCAGCTAAATTGACACCCAAACTGACCACTACAGGCGCACCCTTGGCGCCAGCACCCGTGGAAGGAAGGGCTGGATGTAGGAGTGGTTAGTTGCAATGTAGCCTAAATGGAGTACTTTAGCCAACCCTGTGGGGAGGTCAGAGATGGAATCAGCTTTCCGGCTGGCCTGAGTTACTGTACAGTGAGAGGGCCAGGCCTGGACCAGTCATCAGTCACTCTCCGCGCTTAGTCATTGGGTGGAGGGGGATGAGCTTGCTGAGACCACAGTCAAGAGGGCTGGCCACCGGGGGCTGTTACTCAGTACCACTCCAGCAGCCAGGCTTTGAGCTCACCAACAGAATTTTTAGCAGCACTTTTAATGATTACACCGTATTAGATGATTCATTTCAAGTACACATTTTTAAAAGCTTACATGTTCATCCCTAAGTGCTGGCTGCTATTTGAATTCTAATGTGGTACAGCAATTCCATGAACCTTTTACAGTGTGAAATTGTGTGTTTAGACCATTCAACGTACAGTGACAGTGGAACCAAGGCTATGATCTTCACGAGAGCAGGTCTCTGGGTCTTTCCTTCCCTGGATCTGCTGGTGGGAACAAAAGGCCAGCCTTTCCCCCAGCCCCTCCCCTGACTCCTTTGTTGAAGTACAAATGTATTTCAGGCTTTGGGACACATTTTCATTATGCAGAAAATGATCTTGAATGAGAATGGGTGCTTGGAGGATTTTGAATTAGTCATTTTAACAGTGACATTGGGGGGGGGGGGTGTTATATTAATAAATAGATGGCCGACATTGATCAGTCGCTCCAGAATTGGACTGTGTCCCTCAGTGATTCCTAACGTGCTGGTCCCCCTAGGCGCAGCTCCAGATGTTCCGAGCTCAGTGGATGTTTGAGCTTGCCCCTGGTGTAGGCCCTAGCAGCCGAGGGCCAGCAAGAGCCTCTCTACTGAAAGCAGATCCCAAAGGAAAGCAAGAACTGGCAAAAGAAGAAAAGTTAAGTATTACCGACACTGCTCCCTCAGAGATAGGTGCTTCCTCCACCTGGCTGCTTTAGCTGATACCGCTACGCACTGTCTCCATCAGAATCTCTGAGATTCACCTGCTTGCTAAAAGATGACTGTATGAATTTATTCATCAAAGCTTGAAAAGGCATTGGGAGTGATTTGGATATTAATGACTTTTCCAAAATAACTATGTCATTTTGTTGTATTTTGAGTTGAACACATTTGTAATGTATTCGTTAACGTGTTAGAATTCCTAATTTGGGGGGGAAATTGTAAAGTTCTTCTACTGGAGAGCTTTTGAATGCTATCTTAATATTTGTCTCTTTCCTAGTGCCTCTCCGTGAAATAGTCCCAAACACTTTTACTTACCCATAGACTGTCACCTGCACGTCATCAGATCCATGCTTCTGAGTACAGATGGTTTTCCATCAGGTAGTGTTAGTGCTGTAATGACTGAAAACTTCCAGGGTTTTGTTTTACTTTTTAATTTTGAAATAATTACAAATTCATGGATACAAGGAAGTCTACCTACTTCCTTTACCGCTTTTTCCAATGTTAATGCTCTTTGTACTTAACTTTAGTAAAAGGTCCAAACTAGGAAAGAGATCATCTTACAATCCATAGAGCATATGTAAATTTCCTCACTCTTTTAAGCCCTGGTGTTTGGATATATGTATGTACAGTTCTAGGTATGTGTAGCCTTGTGGCATCTCCACAAAACTGCCTTGTGCCACCTCACCGCTGACCCCTCCTCACTCACTCCACCTCACCACCGACCGACCCTTCCTCACTCACTCCCACTTCTTAACCTCTGGCAACCACTACCCTGCTCCCCCAGCTCCATAATTTTGATAATACACACCTGTTGTGTAAATAAAATCATATATAACCTTCTGAGGTTGACTGTTTCACTGAGCTTAATTTGAGGTCTATCCCGATTGTATTAATCGTTTGTTCCTTTTTATTGCTAACTAGTTTTCTGAGATATGGACATCCCTAGTGTGTTTATCCATTAACTTATTGAAGGCCTTTGGGTTTTTATTTGGGGCTGCTCTGAACATGTATGCATTGATTTCTTCCTGAGCATGAGTTCATGTTTCTCTGGAGTAAATGTCCTCACGTGCACTTGCTGGACGTCATGTCAAATGTGTATTTGGTTTGAAAGGGAATTGCCAAGTTCTTGCCTGTCAGAGGGTGGCCGCACACGCGGTTATGTTCCACCAGCGGTGTGTGGAGGGTCAGTCTCTCTGCATTTGGTGGGATCATTACACCAAATTGTACCCATTCTGGTCGGTCTGTAGTAAGATCTCATTGTAGTTTTAATGTGCATTTTTCTTAACTGTTGAGTTCTGAGTGTTTTTAGATACATTAGATAAAATAGATGTTATAAGATTGTTTAGATATGTAGCTTAAAAGTATTTTCCCCCGATTTGTAGCTAACGTCTCTTAACTGGGTCTCGTGCAAGCGAAGTTTTTGCCTTTGTTTCTTAATTTTCGTGTGGTCCAGCCGGCCATTTTTCCTTTTCTGGATCATGCTTTCAGTGCGGAGTCTCAGACAACATTGCTGTGCCCTGGTTTCCAGAGAGTTCCTTCTATGTTTTATCTAAAGGTTTTGGAAGTTTTAACCTATAAGTCTGTGACATGTTTTGCGTTAATTTTTTTTACAGAATGAGAGGCTCAAGTTCAAGCTTGTGTTTTTGTCTTTGGACGTGTGATATTTCAGCCCCACTTGCTGAAAGGCCTAGCCTTCAGCCAGTCATCAGGATTTTTCATTCGGATTTTCAGATCATTCTTCATGCTTCCTTTCTGTAGGCTCGCGAACTCTTCCTAAAAGCAGCAGAAGAAGAACAAAACGGAGCCCTCTATGAAGGTACAACCCAGGGCTCAGGGTCACAGTGTCATGACTTTCCTGAATCACAACGCTCGGCTAACTCTTGTTGTTTTCAGTAGAATGCATTTGGTTTTTTCAGTCTCCCTCTATGTGAGACAATATAGAGAATTAATATAAAAAAAAAAACTGAAAAAAAATAAATAAATAACTGCTTTTCTGTTTAGCCTGTCTCTTTAAAAAAAAATGTGTGGCAACATATGACTAGTAGGATGCATAAAAGATCTTCTTTTCTAAGTTTTAATTTAGTCATTATTAATAAAACCTTTAAAATGTTACTCCTTATGGAACGGGATATAACTCTTGCATAGGTGAAAATTACTTCTGAGAAAGCAAATGCAAAGAAAAGGTTGTAACAAAAAAATTTAACTGATCACAGTGATTGACATATAGCCACTGGTTCACACACACACACCCCAGGGGGCCAGACAACAGAAAAGTGGGTGAAGGGAGACAGTGGTCAGTGTAAGACATGAAAAAATATATATATATTACCAAGGGTTCATGAGGGAGGTTGGGGGAGTGGGGAAATAAGCTGATACCAAGGGCTAAAGTAGAAAGTGTTTTGAAAATGATGATGGCAACATATGTACAAATGTGCTTGACTCAATGGATGTATATATGGATTGTGATAAGAGCTGTCAGTACCCCCAGTAAAATGATTTTTTAAAAAAGAAAACAAAAAATTTGTCTTTAGTTCTAACTTATATTTACCAAAAGTATTGCCCTCAGCTCTTTTATTGCTTCAGTAGAAATAGGCAATGAAACAGAGTAATGGAATTATTTACTGTATTACATTTGTAATTTTGCTTTCATTATGTGATAGTAAAGTTAATAATTCGAGCATGAGAAAAAATTTGGTGCTTGAATCATGAATGCTCCCATATAACATTATTCGGCATTACTGCATATATTTACAAATTTCTTGTAGGGATATTTTTGCCCTGGGATTTTAAAGAGCCCAATTAATCAAGTCCCTTTGTACTCTATTAATTTGTGAGACACCCCCCCAGCCCCCCAGTATTAGAACATGGTGGAATGTATTGAACCGGGGTCGGGGGGAGGTGTTTCATCCAAAGGGAAAGAAGTGATCTGCATTCAGAGCCCCAGTTCTCCTGCTGTGCACCTGCAGAGACGATTATTAAAGGTGTAGCTGAACTACTGGCCAGAGATTTATTAGAAACAGGGTTTTGGTTTTGTGTTTTACCAAAATCCTAGAAACTTTTATTAAGTATCCCTTCCAGCAGCACGCAAGCTACCACAGTAAGAAGTTGACAGGTGAATGATGGTGCGTGTACTATAATTGGTTTAACAGTATCTTAATCCACTAGGGCCTTTCAATCAATAATTGATAAAGAAAAATTATAATTCACAAACTTTTCTAGCATTTTTTTTCCACCAGTGCAATTTTACATTTTCATTAAAACTTCATGTTTTTTGCCTAACAAATTTACCACCATTGAGGAGGCTAGAAGCAAAATATAGCTTTTAAAAGGGAAAGAAGTAAGAGGCAGCTGGGTAAAGGAAGTTAACTTTGAGATATAAATTAAAATTAAAATAAGACAACCAACCAAACAAATCCTTATTCTCCCCAGTAGGAGGCATTTGATTTTCCTCCAGTCTCCATCCCAGAAAGCAAAGTTTGCTCAGACATGTTTTTGTTGGGGCGACAACGGTTGCATTTTCAGAGTCTGGAGAAAGACTCCCACCTAAGATCACTTCTGAAGGAAACCATGGGGAGAGCTGGAAGGAACATTTGCATCTTAAGATTTTTATAATATATGGACTTTCGAAAGAAGGAAGTTCATTTCTGAACAGTAAGGTTTAGAAATAAGCTTGCTCACTGAACTGTCATTGCATGTAGAAAGAGAGACTTTGGATGTTTGTAAAGAAACTTACCAAATTAGCCACCATTAAAGGTAGACAAAGGAAATGACAAACGTGTGTGGTCATAGCTAATTTAGCTTTATTTCTTCTTCTAGCCATCAAGTTTTATCGTAGGGCTATGCAACTTGTACCTGATATAGAATTCAAGATTACTTACACCCGGTCTCCCGATGGTGATGGCGGTGGAAGCAGCTAGTGCGTATATTATTTGATAGACAGTAACGCATACGACTTTGTTACAGTTAAGCTTCTTTGCCCTGATGATTCCTAACATGATGCCTAAATGCTGCTGATTCTATTAAGTTACATAGTGTTTAGTATATCTCTTTTATAAAGTTGTAGAAAATTTTTAATTGGGAAAATTTTAAGATTAAAATGTAGAAATACAGATTTTTAAACAAGTAAAATTAAAAAAATAAAGCTAAGAAGGAATTTGTGTTAAGAGCAGTTCTTACTAAAGAGAAATAAGGTTAGTGCAGAAGGAATATGTAATAAGAGCAGTAGTTATTAAAGTGAAATAAATGAAGGACACACCTTAACTCGTTAAAGTAGGAAGTATTAAAGTGTAAGTAAGCCCGAGTTACAGAAGGTAGTATAGCTGCAGAAGTGGACACAGACAGCCCCATTTACACCGGTCTCCTTTTGTGTCAAGTTTGAGACTACATTGAAAAGGTCTTCTTTTACTTTTTTTTTTTTTAAGGAAAGTGTTGGACTAGAACATGACTTGGTTTATTAAGGTAGGATGTAGGTAGGATGTTATTATGTAGGTAGGATGTTATTAAAACTATATAACTTGGTTAAAAGCACAGGTTCAGGAGGAAACATTAAAAAAAAAACCAAATTTTTTTCTTCAAAGCTAGGTATCTACATTTTTACAAAACAACTTTATCATCTTCAAAGTACTCTTCATTACACTTAACTACATTGGTCAAATCTGCAATTCCATTCTTGGAAACATTTTTCAAACTCATCTATTTGGACAGCTGCCAGAACCTTGCTTTTTTCTTCACCTTTTCTACTTATGGAGGGTCCTCCTCTTTTTTTGCTGCCCCTCTACCACATATGATGTCCTTTCCCAGGTACTGGTCTCTCCTGATAGCATGTCCAGTGCACGCGAGACGGAATCTCACATACTCACTTCCGACTGCAGTGCTCCAAGACAGATTTGTTCATCCTCTGGAAGTCCTTCAGATAGCCCGTGTTCTCCGCCCGCACCCTCATCCCCATGTATCAGTGCTTTGGTCTTCCTTAGTCATTGTCCCATTTTCACAGACTTATTAGGGAGCCCTGGTGGCAGTGTGGTGATGGATTGGGCTCGATCACAAGGTCAGCAGTTTGAAGCCACCAGTCGTTCCTCAGGAGGTAGACAGCGTTCTACTCCCGTAGAGAGTTACAGCCTCGGAAATTCACAGGGGCAGTTCTGTCCTGCCCTGTAGGGCCCTTTGAGTAGCACTGAGTGAGAGCGATGAGGCTATTGAACATGCCGTGGCTGAGCTCAGGTACACCTTAGTCTCAAAGTGACATCTTTGCTCTTTAACAACAGAGGTCTTTTGAACCAGATTAATTTTGGGGGAACCCATATTCAAAACATAATGAAGTCAGTATTGGTCACCTATTTGAACGTTCAGCTAATAATATTGTTCACCAAAATAGACTTAGCACTGTGAGGCAGGTCATACTTAAAATGAATCATTTGGGCTGTTGCTAAGCCTTGATTAATTTTGAGTAGAACCATTTAGCCAATTTTATAATTAGGTACCAGGTACTAACAAGAAAGGTGATACCAAAACATTGAAGACATATTTCTTTCCTTTCCTTTACATAAACCCATTACTAGGAAAGTTCTTTAAAATACAGTGTTGTTTGCTTTTTGCTTTGATCCAACCTGGTAGACACTGTGCGTCCTTGCCTTCTGTAAAGAGCTGGCAGAAAGAATGCTGTGGGGTCCATCCGGCATTAGCCGAACTTGCCCTGTGTTGTGCTGCAAATCCCCTTCTGCTGTCTGACAGCTGTTCCTACCCGAGCCTCAGTCAGAAAGGGGAAGTGAGGACATTTCCTAGGACTTACACTCTTGTTTAGGTTGGTAGATGGTTTGCGGATCTTGTTAAGATTTTTCAGATTACATATTTTTCTCTCTAAAGATTAGGTAGTAAATTAAGAACAGTGTTGGTAGTTTAGACAACATAGTGCATGTAATGTGTATCCGACTTAAAAGAATTAAGTCCATCACAAGTTTAGCACATAGTTTTCATCATCTGAAATTGCCTTTTTCTTAAAATCTGTTTTATAATAAAACTAGTTAAATTCAGCACCAAATACTGTCTAAGTAATAATTAAAATTTCCGAAGCTGTTTCTTTCTCTTTGTGAAGCTGTTTTCTTTAAAAACCTAGTACAATACTCTCTTGCAAGGCAGAATAAACTGAGCACATCAAACACTAATAAAAGTAGTAAGCAAATGTGCGTTCAGATAGCTTTCTTCCACAACGGTTTTGAAAGTTTCTAAGCCGCGCGTGGGCTGAAACACGCAGCTCAGCCCCCCGCCCCTCTCTCCCCTGCAGCATTGAAGACCACGACGAGGACAGCAAGATGGCCGACCTCTTGTCCTACTTCCAGCAGCAGCTCACGCTCCAGGAGTCTCTGCTCAAGCTGTGTCAGCCTGACCTGGAGAGCAGTCAGACCCACATCTCAGGTGTGCGCTCTTGGTTATCAAAACACAGTGGGAAGACTTCAACCGTAGGTTTAAATGTTTCCAGTTGATCACGTCAGATGATTTGCCGGGTCATTGCTGCTCAGGGTCAGGTTATGGTGGGTGGTTCATCACAACTGCTGTTTGAATAGGCAACTGAGCCTTTCGAAACCTAAAGCCGAGCCGAGCCGAGTGTGCAGTCCGGTGCAGGAGGCTGCCCTGCTTCCTCCAGTGAAGAGCGCTGGGAGAGCTCAGTGGCTCCGGCACGGAGAAGCTTGGAGGACGGGAACCATTGCAGGCAAGGAGGCCACCAGGCTGGACAGGGGCTGGCTGTTTAAAAATGTATGTATCTATTCATAGGTTAAATACTGCGTGGTCAGCATTGACTTTTTTTTGAAAGAATCTAGAAGATAATTGATCCTTTTTAAGGAGATGAACATAATGTTTTTAAAGGCAATATGGATCACACAGAGATATTCATGGAATGTGCTCTAACATTTATTTTAATCTGCCCTGTAAATGATCTTCAGAAGGGAGAGGGTTCTTGATAAAAAATAGCGCCAGATCTGTTTTATACCTAAAAACAAAACCAGAAACCACACTAAGTTAGTTACGTCTTTGTGCTGGAAGCTATTAGGACCACCGAGTGGTGGGCTTTTAGGAGTCTCGGGCAGGCGGGAAGACGTGCTGGCTGAGAGCCAGCGTGCTGTCCCAGTGGCTCGCCTCAAAGGAGGGTCGCTGGGGGCCGTTCTCTTTGCAGTGCTGCCGATGGAGGTGCTGATGTACATCTTCCGATGGGTGGTGTCCAGTGACCTGGACCTCAGATCCTTAGAGCAGCTGTCACTGGTGTGCAGAGGGTTCTACGTCTGTGCCAGGTACGTGCCCGTGGCAGGGCTCAGGACCGAGAGAGAGGACGGTCTGCTGCTGCCATTGAGCATCTGGTGAAAGGGCCTGAACGGGGGATCTGGAGAAAAGCTTTCAATGAGCACAGGCTTCGCTGTGTCATGCGTCAATGTAACTTTCCTGGACAGCTTAGCTTTGAAATATTAGAAAACTCTGTATGTCTACAGGGAATGCTATAGAAGGAACTTAAATTACTTTTATCTAGAACCCATTTAGTCACTAACGCTACTCTCGGAGGATGGTTTGTATACTTAGCATCACTGATTTGGAAAAAGAATTCTGTTAGAAAAGAATTTATTTACACCCAAGTCATATTTACAGTAAGTGGCAATGATTTAATTTCAGATTGTACCACACTTTTAATTTGGCCCATTAAAAGTTCAATTATACATTTTAAATCTTACCATCCAAGGAAAACACAGAGGGTAGTGTACAATCATTGGTACTGACAATCTTTCATGAGTTCCTTACATAAGAATAGGTGTTTCGTCTTTAGAATTTTTCAGAGCTATAATTTTTTAAAATATGCATTATTTTAGATAATTTAATTCGGAGTCTGGTGTTTGGGGTAAAATATGTAAATTGATGGAGGTTAAACTCTTTGTTTTTGCTGATTCTAACGTGTGTTTTAGTAATAGATACCCATTAAGCCCTGAGTGGATTGCCACCAACCTCTAGAAACCAGAGATTCTAGCACTGTTGTTCCTTTTAACTTTTAAAATTTTCCATGAGGAACACATGAGAAGCTAAGAAAACAAATCATCAGTGAGGATATGTTATCGTAGAACAGAGCAATTATTAAAAGAAAAATGTTATTCTTTCTGGTATAAATAGGGAGTGGAGTTATGTTTTTGTTTTTTTGCAGTCTAGCACCCATAGAAGTAGCGTTCACTTCTTTGAAACTATTGCAAGTTGTAGATGGAGTAAAATAGTTCAATCCCTCATTGCAATACATTTTTTGGCTTAGATGTTTGCAGTAACCTTATAGTAAAGTCTTGTCAGTGTTACCTTTCAAATATATGTCCAGTCTGATCATTGTACCACTTCTGCAACTGCCCCCCTGCTCTAGCCGCCATTATGCCTGGGCTGGGCTGTAGCAGTGGTCTCCTGGTCTCCTGCTTCCACCCAGACCCCTAGAGTAGATCCTTCATAAGCCATCAGCAAGGTCTTTCCAAAATATGAATCAGGTTATATCATTCCACCTTAGTTGTCTAGTAGTGCTATAAAGAAATATTGTGAATGGATGACTAACCAACAGTTTTATTTTCTCATACTTTTAAGAGGCTAGAAGTCCAAATGCAAGTCATTGGACTCTAAGGGAAGGCTTTCTCTCTGTTGGCTCTGGAAGAAGGTCCTTGCCTCTTCTACTTCTGCTTCCCAAGTCACTGGAGAGCTCTGTGTGTCTGGGCATCTGTCTAGACTCATCTGTGCTCTGCTCTCGTTGAATCTTGTTTATAGCTCAGAGACACTGATTCAGGCTACACTCATCTGTCTCCTTAACATTCAAGGGACCTAGTCCCAACCGGGATGATAAGTACAGATTTGGAGGAGGGATTTATTTACACATCATTTTGGAGGACACAGTTCAATCCATAACACATGCTCCAAACCCTCCAATGTCATCCATCCCACTGAAAGTGAATAGCCAGCCCCCCCCCCCCCAGGGCCCCCATGACCACCACGTCGCACTTTTCTCTCACAGTCACCCATTTCTCACTTGGCTGCAGCTTTTTGCTGAGCCGGCCCCGGCCTTACAGCTGCTGGGGCTTCTGTCCCCAGTACTCTTCCCCACCCTACTGTCATCACTTTCCCCCAGTGCCGGCCCAGCACCCCGTCTGGATAGCCTGTTTACCCAGCACCGTCATCGCTGCCTCTGGCCTGCTTCCTCTATGTGTTTTTGCGCAGGACACACTACCTAAAGCTTTCTGCCTCTTTGATTTCTTTCCTTCCAGTAGCAGAGCGGGGCTTTGCCCTGTTCATCAGTGCGTCTCTCCAGTGCCCAGAATAGGGCGTGGCAGACGCTCAAGAAATAGTCCTTGTATAAAAGATGACTTGAGAGCAAATAAATATGTCTTATGTCTGTAAGCGAGGACTTAGCCTTTTATGGACATAGCGATGTGCTTTTGTTACCTAGAGACCCTGAAATATGGCGTTTGGCCTGCTTGAAAGTTTGGGGCAGAAGCTGTATTAAACTTGTTCCGTACACATCCTGGAGAGAGATGTTTTTAGAAAGGCCTCGTGTACGATTTGATGGTAAGTTGAGAAGTAATGGATTTATAATGCGCATTTGGCTAAGTACAAAAGCTTTGTTTTTTATAATGGACTTACATAATGCCATGTTTAAGAGAAACCACCATGAAAGTTGGAAGCTTGATTGCCGTATTGAAAGTTCTTTTCATTTATCGTGAGCTCACGTTTAAAACCCACTGCTTTCTCCCAGGTGTGTACATCAGCAAAACCACGTACATTCGCCAAGGGGAACAGTCTCTTGATGGTTTCTATAGAGCTTGGCACCAAGTGGAATATTACAGGTACAACTGTCGTAAACTGAGTGAGTGAAAAGTTCTCTCTCTCCACATAGTATTAATGAACACTCTGTCGTTTGTTCCTTTTCATTCATGATTATGATGGCCCTCCGTATTTTTGTTATAAGAACTGCACTCAAAATATCCAACAGTTCCATCTAAATGATCTAATTCCTCAGCTTGTAAATCTCATTTTACATTTTAGCGTTCTCCTTGTCTTTTCCTTCAGTGTACTTGTTTACCTCTTCAAATAACAAATACACTTTTATTTAGCTGTAATAGTCACTAAATATTCCTCTGTTGAGAAAGAACCCGGCTTTTTTTAACCACTGAATTTTATCATTAGATCTCCCTTTTGTTGGACATTAATTAGTGCTTTAGGAAAACACACAGAACTTAACAGGGCAACGTTTAACTGAATTTGTCTTGATTCAGTGGCCGTCACTGGACGTTCAGCAGCCCCCTCTAAGGAGGACGATGAAATATCTGCGCTGCCAACCTCTCAGGTTGTCAGTCATGGTTCTCTGGACGGTGATTTTTGCTGATTTTTAGCCCTTGGTGTTTCCATTTTGATCTCACAGCTATGAGCAGGCTTAGGTAATGGATACGTGAGGACATGCTCATGTTGTGTGTGGGGGGGGTTCTCTTGTGTTTTTTTCTGTTTGCACAGGTATATAAGATTCTTTCCTGATGGCCACGTGATGATGTTAACAACCCCTGAGGAGCCTCAGTCCATTGTTCCTCGTTTAAGAACCAGGAATACCAGGTATTGCTTCATTGTCGCTTTCTGTTCAGACCACGGTTTATTTGGTCCCCTGCAAGCTACTGTAGCCCAACACTTCCCTGGTTAAACACTTGCCGTAAAGCATCTTTGTGCCTTGGACTTCGTATTGTTTACTCACACCCTGTTGAATCCTCCTGGGACAATCAAGTCAGCCCTGTCGGAACCCATTACTTCCTGGATTACATAAATCCATATTATAGTGGGTTCGTAGCTCTAAAGGGTTTTTTTTTGTTTGTTTTGTTTGATTCCCTTTTTTAGAACGGATGCAATTCTTCTGGGTCATTATCGCTTGTCGCAAGATACAGACAATCAGACCAAAGTATTTGCTGTGATAACTAAGAAAAAGGAAGAAGTGAGTAAGGTGTTCTCTTTGCTTAGTCTCTATTTGTGCACGCATTCCGGATTAGAAATGATAAAAAATACTGCTTCATTGCTTATCCTGTGTGCTCTATACTATTATACACCAAATGTACGATGACTTGTGTCTGAAGAGAGCTAGGAGTTTTTATAAATTGTGGCAATTTTTTATTGCATTAAGCTTATTGACTTTTCTCTAAATGATTTTCTTCTTTGGCTCAGTTCTTTTAATCCATGAAAATGTAAAACCAGAATTTCCTATAAAATAGTAAAATTATACCTAATTTTTTTTTGCCTTTCTAAATTTGCTCAATAATTCTTTCACAAGTATACCCTTACACAGAAATTCAATTTCTGCAGGAAACAACTTAAAGTAAGGAAAAATTGTTTTCTTTCCAGCAATAAAATAACACTTAACTGAAACCATATTCTAAAGCTTTACTACGCCCCCCCCCCCCCCCCAAAAAAAAAAAAGATCAAACTCACCGCTATACAGTCGATTCCAACTCACTGTGACCTACAGGACAGGTAGAGCTTCCCCCGTGGGTTTACGAGACCATCACTGTTGACAGAAGTAAGAAGCCCTGTCTTTCTCCTGGGGAGCAGCTGGTGGTTTCGATCTACAGCCCCACACAAACCAGAATGCCGCCAGGGCTCCTCCTCTTGCTGCATTCTATCGTGTCGTAAACATTCCTTCACATGCTTTTGCTTTATAACCTTGCTTTGTGTGTGCTTTTTCAGTCCTAGTTTTAAAAAAGGCATATGTGTACACACAGACAGATTTTATATGTGTGTGTGTGTGTGTGAGTGTGTGTGTGTGTGTGTGTGTGTGTATGTATATATACCCAGTAAGCTAGTTGTGATGTGGCTGATGTAATTATTTGCCTAGTGTTATTAAAGTTGCCTTTATTGTACAATGTTTTGGGTTTTTTAAAGATAGGTTCCTTGTATTGAGATAATCAGGACTGGGTGTGAGTCATATTGTCTTGTAGTCATCTGTTGCTGCCTTTTCGGTCTCTTTCTGGTAGACCCCTGGCATCTGGGACAGCAGCTTGTTTGGCAGTGATAGTTGCTAGGACTGCCGTTAGCCATGCATTTCCTGAGCTCAAAATTGGGGAAATATGAAGTGTGAACTGTGTAGGTTTCGTCTAATAAAGCAGCTTAGGAACTCCCCTGTGGGCTGCCGATTTCCTCTTCAGAGTAAAACAGAATGGTAGAACTCACACTTTTCTATTTCCATCAGTAGTACTTGCATCAGTTTGACTCTAATGAAACTTGAACACTGTTTCTCTCTACAGACGATTTTACTGTTACTGCAAAAGATAAGTTATACCCTTTTTCTGCGGGCTCCACTGGCTGCTTACTTTTCCTCTGTTTGAAAACTCACTGCTTTCTAGTAAGTGTTAGGCTTAGAGGTAGGGGACAGAAGTTCTTATCTGCACTCCAGTTTCTATCACGGACTTGCTTCGATGGAAATAGTAAGATCATAGTGGTTGTGATGATTAATTCAATGATAATGATGGGAGAAAGCCTTATGTTTGTAGAGTATTTAACATTAAAAAAAATCATTTTACCGGAGGCTCGTACCACTCTTATCACAATCCATATGCAACCATTGTGTCAAGCACATTTGTACATATGTTGACATCATCATTTTTAAAACATTTTCTTCCTACTTGAGCCTTTGGTATCAGCTCATTTTTCCCCTCCCCCCCTCCCCCACTCGAGTACTTAACATTTTTTAAGTCCCTTCCCATTTGATATCCAAGGCAACCCTTGCTGTGTGCAGATGCTGTGGTACTTACTGTTAGTGTCATGTGATGTCCTGTAAAAGTCAGGGTTCACTAAGGCTCATGAACCTTTGCTCTCACAGAAACCACTTGACTACAAATATAGGTATTTTCGTCGTGTCCCTGTACCAGAAGCGGATCAGAGTTTCCATGTGGGACTACACCTCTGTTCCAGTGGTCACCAGAGGTTTAACAAACTCATCTGGATACATCATTCTTGTCATATCACCTACAGGTAAAGATGCTAAAAATATCCAAGTTACCGCATGACTGTGTGTGTCATTCATAACTGTTACTTGTCTGTCAGTTTGTTGTACCCTGAAGGCTTGTGGGGTGCTGTGATGCTGGAACTATGCTACTGATATCAAATGCCACCAGGGTCCTCCTTCGTGGACAGGTACCCTCAGAGCTCCTATTGACTAGGAGGAGGAAGGAGGAGCTGCAGACCGTCTTCTGGAAAGAAACTGGTCACCTTGAAACCGTAGAGCAGGACATTGTCAGACTCAGTGCCAGAACATGAATGCAGCCAGTTGAGTGGTGCTCATCCACCTGACACAGAGCTCGGCCTCAGCGACACAGGTGGCGTAGGCTTTCAGCACTTGCGTTCGCTTGACTCAAAACAAGAGAAAAACTAAAGATTCATTAACAATCGAAATGTAGACCGCAAAGTATGTACCTGGGAAAATTTGATGTCAGAAATGAAAATGGAATGCATAAATGTTAATATCCTAGGCATTTGTGAGCTGAGATGGACTGATGTTAGCCACTTTGAATCAGACCATCAATCGTATGTTCTATAATGCCAGGAGTGACAAGTCGCAGAGGAGTGGTGTCCCCGACCATGCCTGAAGAACAGCACTGGCAGGGAAAGGCTGACAGCCTTTCTTGTACTCGGAACACCAGTTCCTAAAGTTTTGACGCAGATTTAGGCACCAGCCCAGCAATGCCAAAGGTAAAGAAGTGGAAACTTTTACAGTCAAGACGCATTGATAATCACGGCGATTGAAAGACACAAGTTGGAAACAAGAAGTGCTGGCAGCTGAAAAGTGCCAGCCTTGGTGACAGACGCGACACTGGAGATAGCATGAGAGGATTCTGCAAGACCAACAACGTGTTCATTGCAAATGCCTTTTTACAGCAACACAACTGGGTGGCTGGGAGTCCTGGTGGCGTAGTGGTTAGGCATTGTGCTGAAAATCCACGTGGTCGCATTTCTCTTTGGGAGAAGGACTGGGCTTTCTACTCCTGTGAACAGTTACAGTCTGGGAAACCATCGGGCTGTGTATTGGTCAGCATGGAATCACTGGTCGATGGCAGGGGTTTGTACACATGGAACTCATGAGATGGAGCACAGGAGTCAGATCATCTACTTCTTTGGAGAGAGACCATGGAGAACCTCAGCTTCATTAGTCAAAACATGGCCAGGGACCAACTGCTGGACACCACCAATTGCTCATATGCAAGTTCAAGTTGAAGCAGGACCTCCAGAGTCAAATAACTATCTTGAGTGAATCCCACCTGAATTTATAGATCATATCAAGAACCATTTGACACATTGAACATCTAATGACCAAAAAGACCATCAAAGTTATCAAAGGTGAGGAAAGCAAAAGATCATTGAAAAGACAAGACGGGAAGAATAGCTAAAAACAGATGTCACATGCTCAGCACTTCTCAAGCAGAAAGGCCTGAAGAGAAATTTCAAGCCTTGATTTACAATATTGAAGGATTCTGTAGGCAAAGTACTGACCAATGCAGGAAACGGCACAAGTTAATAGAATATGCAGACTTGTTTATCAAAAAGAATTGGCCGACGTTGAACCATTTTGTGAAATAGCCTATGAAGAACCAGTGGGGTTGCGGGAAGAAAGCTAAGCTGCAATGAAAGCACTGGTGAGAAATAAGGCTCCAAGAATTGTCAAAAGGCAATTGAGGTGTTTCAACAAATAGATGCAGCACTGGAAATGCTCGTTGGTTTATGCTAAGAAATGTGTCACCCGTGTCTCCTCTGCCTGTGACTATGCCGATAATCTTGCAGCTATGAAATGAATAAACTGTACTAATAGCTTCAGGTGCCATGGGGGGCAGTAGATACCGTATATACTTCAGTATAAGTCGACCCGAATATCAGCCAAGGAACCTAATTTTACCATAAAAACTGCATTTAGAATGTGCTGGAAAACTCGGCTTATACACCAGTCTATACGGGAAGTGCTTGACTGAACTGAGAGGCTTGAAGGCACCCCACTCTGTAGGCGAAAGGTGTGGTGGCCGTCAGCATCCGTAGAGACAGATAGCCTTAACCCTGTGAGGGAGGCCCTTCCCGTCTCCTTGAATTCGAATGGACTCCACAGCAGTGGTTTTTTTAAAATCTGGTAAGTCGTTGGCTTGCTCTTGAAAAACATTTTGACAAGTGTCCTAAAATTGTGTATACATTTTGACTTAGAAATTCCACTTCTAGGAATTTGTTTGAAGGACATAATAAACATTGGCATTATTTTCAATTGCCAAATATTGGAAATGATGTAAACCTCCAAAAGGGGAGAATCATTCATTGTGTCGCGGTACAAACACGCAGTGAGCCATGCTCTACGTGCCTGCCTGCGCACCATGTGAAGGGGGGGTCCTCCCCCCCTGCGTCATGACGTCAAAGGGGAATAGCCGGGCTGCTGAGGTCGCAGGTCCCCATAGTAAAGCTGGAAACGAGAGTGAGGTACTTCTAGGGGAGACTAAAGGACGTTATTTTATATGGCTGTATGGTGATGGGATGCTGAACGACTTCTTTATAAGGAGTCCCCAGGGCGGTGCTTGGCTGCTAACTGAAAGGTCTGGGAGCTGTGAGCTCACCCTGAAGTGCCTCCTACGAAAGCCTGGCAATCTCAGGAACGGCCTGCCATTAGAAAGCTGAGCCAAGTTGTACCCCCCGCCCCCCACCCCTCCACAGGGTCGCATGAATTGGAGCAGACTCAGTGGCACTACCGGTTTGGTTTTCTTTGCTTATCCATTGTCTACATTTACTTTTTTTTTTTTACATTTTACATTATTTTTATAATGTGCCTATGTTATGTAGGATTTACCAAGATGGATTAAAAATAAGATACCTCCCTGCCTCCCCCCCCCCCAAAAAAAAAAAGATTGTTAATGAGCAGACATTTCTGTCTTAATGAGTGCTTTGGTTCTTGGTTCTAGATCGACCGGTGAAACCGCGGTCACTGCCTTCGAGATTGATAAGATGTACACCCCGCTGTTCTTTGCCCGAGTGAGGAGCTACACCGCTTTCTCCGAAAGGCCTCTGTAGGGCTTCACGTCCAGCCTCCGTCACTGTTGCATGAATAAAAGTATATAGAGCAAAAGAGCACCTAAGTTATAAATGTACATAAAAATATATATATGTGGAATTGGAACTTGTTTTAAATTGCTGAGGTTCTTTTAAGAAGAGTATAAATTGATTATTTTTTTTATTTAAAGGGATAGTTCATTCCTGGGGTGTTTTGTTTTGAAACTAAGGTTGTAAGTTGTTACTGCACATGTATGTTACGGGAAAACCTTACTGTAAGGTGTAACTCGTGTCCCTTCAAGCAGATTTCTGTTAAGTAGAGCTTCGTCCGATCATCTTGATATGTAAACACATCAGGAAGAACTCCACTGGATACGCATTTATCTCACGCATGACCCTGCATTCAAGACGCAAAATGTGAAAATCTGGTCTGCATTTGTTTGAAATTGTTTGACTAATAAAGACCATAAATAAATGTTTTCTTTCCAAAAAAATACATTTGCATGGCCTTTTGAAGATGTCAGAATGTTTCTCAGTCCTAACGGAGCCACTGAGCCTCCTGACAGGCATCTCCCAGTGGGCATCTTGTAAGTGTGTGGCATTAAGGAGGAGTGGCCCCTCAGGACTGGGACTCTGCAGCAGGGTCAAGCTGTGTTGATGCTGCCTTGCTGGCTTTGATCATTCATTGCAATGCCCCTGCCCCCAACTCAGAGACAGTGCTCATGATGAGAGGTTTGAGAGGGAAGCCTTTAGGCTAGATCATTTGTGTGAGAAATGCTCGGGGGACTGTTCACTCGGGACCGTTTCTTTTCTGCTGTGGCCACAGGCAGGCTCTGGTCCTCAGACCCTTGACCTGTCCTCTGCCCTGCTCAGAGTTACAGAGATCTGCTAGAGCTGCCCATAACTGTCCTAAGGACACGAAACTGCTGTAAGCCTCCGCCCGAAGGGACTCGGCTCCACCTCTGGGGGTCAGCAAACCCACTCCACCCCCTCCCACCCACCCACCCTAAATGCACTGAGGCATCCATGGCTTTACTTGCTCTGGGGGCTGGGAAGCCCACCCTCTGTCTCATGCTCCAACTCCCAGTTCTGCAGTTGCTGCTGCTCTGCCACTCCTCTGGTGTCAAAGTTGTCTCCGGGATGTAGGAGGCTCAACATACAGGGATCTCAGGGTCTGGAGATGGGTCTCTGCTCTCCCACGTGAGAGCCCTCCTTGCTTCTGAGATGGATGCTTTTACACCCTGCTGACGGTGAATAGCGTTGCAGTTGGTAAAAAGCAGGGTAGAGAAGTGTGCGGCGCCCAGCTCTCAGCCCAGAATGAAAGCTGAGAGAGGCAGCCTCCCAGGAAACCACACTACCTGTTCTCTTACCCTCAGGAACCCGCCACCACCTGCGTGATTACTTCACATTGAATTTCACTGATGTGCCTGGCAAACCTCTACCAAATGAAGGTTTATTCTTGTTGACTCAAAGATAGCCAGAGTGGAATACTTGTATATTTGGAGGAATCAGCATCTGCCCCCGCTATGGATTTTGCATTGGCTCTGAAATGAAAGACTATGAGACTCACTGTAAGCCTCACCCCTGTGGGTTAACCCCTTAATGGTCCTTATATGGTTCTACATTTCAATATGCTGGGTTTTTTGTTTGAAGCCGCCCACATATATATTTTATATATAGCAAACATTGCTATTCCTTCCCAGAAGAACTCAATGACTCTCAAGAAAGAAGTCCCGACTGTCTCCTCTCCACTTGCTCCTGTGCTAGAAGGTTCTCTAGACGAGTGGGAAGCCTTCACTGGCAGGGAAGGTGCCGCTGTACTGCGGGAGGCCACAGAACGGATCTATGATCATAGACCCTGGGGGGTGGGGGTGGGGGCCGAAGGGAGCAGACACTAAGCTGGTGACCTACATCAACTGAGTGAGTCGTTGACACCAGAAAGGTTCTTCCCCTACGGTGAGTGGGCTGTACCCCTTGTCGAGTCGATCCGTTGGTGTGATCCGTGGGCAGTGGCAGCCCACAGCGCTGGTTGAGAGGAGGGTTGAGATGGTCTGGTGAGGGAAGCGTGACAAGATGCTTAGTGACATGACGATAGAGCTCAGGGGACACGATTTGGGGGCAGAGGTTTGTGTGCTTCCTATTTTACCCCCTGCATAGAAACTGTGCTTCATGCGGGCAACCTTTGGGGATGTTCTATGGAGAGGGGGCAGTGATACTGATGCAGAGTGAACAGTGGAAAAGATCACAGGAAAGCTCACGTCTTATGTGGGGACATGTTTAACCATGTCCCCACTCCACCCTGGAGCAGCCAGGGCAAAGGGCCTGAGCAATTGACTTGGAAGAGTCGAGAGAAAATGTGGACTATTCAGCACCCTGAGAAGGCCACGAACCTGCGTCAACAGACCAGAAAGGAGGGCGAAGCAACAGAGAAATGTAAAAGTAAAATGAAAGCAAATGCCCAAACTTGTCCTTGGAAACATTTGTTCAAGAACCACTTGTACGAAGTGCTGTGTTTCCTACTTTCTACCCACAGGAAAAAATCAGAAGCTTTGCTGTTCCAGACATTTCTGATTAAGTCTTTAAATAAAGAAACATCATCATCATTAGGAACAAAACAAAACACCAGTTTACAAACAGCCAACAACGGCGCGTGCAAGCGAGCCTTGAATAAAGGCCCTGAAATCTTCCGAAATCCCTGTGGCCTCTGTCATTGAGGATGATGACTCTACAGACTGCTCTGAGAACTGAGCCTGAGAAGCGCTGAGTAAGAGAGCATGCACTCCATTCTTTCTCAGTCTTAGAGTACAGAAGATGACCTTTACAAGGGTCAGGACATCACGCAGCACAAATCTCGGTCCTCAACCCTGCCCTCCTCTTGACCCAACTCAGTAAGAAATAGCAGTGTTCAAGTAGAAGCAAATGTTTTGATAATGATAATGGCAACAACTGTACAAATGTGCTTGACACAATGGATGGATGGATTGTGATAAGTGCTGTACGAGCCCCCAATAAAGTGATTTTTAAAAAAGAAAGAAAGAGCAGTGTTTTCAGATGTCTCAAAGCTGATATTCTTATTTTAAAATATCAGTCCCTAAACAACTTGGATATTTGGGGGAAATGTAGAGAGTGAGAACTTTTGTTTTAAGAAGAAACCAGTTTGGAAGCAGGCTTTTCTTCTGCTACTGAGACTGTCATGAAGCATGTGTCTCTGAGAGTGCAGACAGCCCCTAACCCCTCTCCGGTAGCTGCCACGTTTTCTGCACAGTTGCTGGTCAGCTATGGAGAGGGAACAGCCCAGCTGTCTCCATAGTTTTTCTGGAGTAAGCAATTTCCCCTTGCCTTTTATCCCTGCATTTTCCATTATCAGAGACTCTAAATTTCCTAATTTTTGGACAAAAACTACTGAAAAATAACATTTAGAGAGTCTGGCTCAATTTGAAAGTATTCTAATTCTAGGTTGATTTCTTTCCTGCATTATTTTGTACGGACTATGTAAGGAGGCATTCTGGAATCTCCATTTACCTCAAGGTTATCTGTAGTTTACTATGGTCCACACAGTCCAATGTCTTTGCATAGTCAATGAAACACAAGTACGACATGTTTCTGATATTCTCTGCTTTGAGCCAAGATCCATCTGACATCAGCAATGATATCCCTTTTTCTACATCACCTTCTAAATCCGGTCCGAACTTCTGGCAGTTCCCTGTCAAGGTCCTGCTGCAACCATTGTTGGATGATCTTAAGCAAAGTTTTACTTGCATATGATATCATTCTAGGGTTTGGGCATTCTGTTGGGTCACTTTTCTTTGGAATGGGCACAAATATGAATCTGTTCCAGTCAGTTGGCCACGTAGCTGTCTTCTAAATTTCCTAGCATAGATGAGTGAGTGCTTCCAGTGCTTCTTCAGCTTGCTGAAACATTTCAAGGGATATTCCATAAATTCCTGGAGGCTCCTTGCTGGTTAATGCATTCAGTGAAATGTGAACTTCTTGCTTCAGCACCACTGGTGTTTGCTCATATGTTACCTCCCGAAATTGTGGAATGTTGGCTAGTTCTTTTTGGAACAATGACTCTGTGTATTCTTTCCATCATCTCTTGATGCTTCCTGCATCGTTCAACATTTTGCCCATAGAATCTTTCAAGAGTGCAACTTGAGGCTTGAATTTTCTTCTTGAGTTCATTCCATTTCAGATATGCTGAGCGTGATTTTCCCTTTGGGTTTTCTAATTCTTGTTCTAAGTCTATTTCACTTCATTGTGCTTATGAGGAACTTTACATGGATCAAGAGGCAGTTGTACAAACAGAACAAGTGCATACTGCATGGTTTAAAACCAGGTAAAGTGTGTGTCGTGTTTGTATCCATTAACCATACACGTTCAATGTGTATGCTGAGCAGATCATCATAGAAGCTTAATTATCTGAAGATGAGTGTGGCATCAGGATTGGAGGAAGGTTTATTAACAACCTGTGACATGCAGATGATGCAACCTTGCTTGCTGAAAGCGAGGAGTAACTGAAGCACTTGCTGATGAAGGTCAAGGATTGTAGCCTTCAGTATGGATAACAACTCAATGTCAAGAACACCAAACTCCTAACAATCACACCAATAGGTAACATCATGATTAATGGAGAAAAGGTTGACGTTGTCAAGGATTTTGTCTTTTTTAGATCCACAATCAATGCTCATGGAAGCAACAGCAACGAGATCAAAAGATATATTGATTAGGTAAATATGATGCCCTAGACCTCTTTAGAGGATGTTACTTTGAGGACTAAGGTGTGCCTGACCCAAGCCATGGTATTCTCCATTGCCTTGTATGCATGTGAAAGTTGGACATTGAATAAGGAAGACTGCAGAAGAACCAATACATTTGGGTTGTGGTGCTGGAGGTGAATATGGAAAGTACTATGGACTGCCAAAAGGACAAACCAGTCTGTGTTAGAAGAAGTAAAGCCAGAGTGCTCCTTAGAGGCAAGGATGGAAAGACTTCATCATCTATGCTTTGGACATGTTGTCAGGAGAGACCAGTCGCTGGAGAAGGACATCATGCTTAGCAATGTGAAAGGGCAGCAGAAACGAGGAAGCCCCTCGACAGAATGGACCGGCACCACAACTGCACCGTGGGCGTGGGCCTAGAAACAGTGGCGAGGACGGCATAGGACACTGCGGTGTTTCCTTGTGCTTCGCATGGGATCACGATGGGCCATAGTCAACTCGGTGGCACCTAACAACAGCAACAATATGTATTGCAAAGCATTTGTTCTGATTGTATAGTTAACGTACCCATTTGGGAAGATATAGAAAAGCATCAAGAAGAAATTAGTGATTAGCCACAAACCTACCACCAGGAACAACCACCTCCATTTCACATTTGCCACCATGAAGACTGACACTGATCCATGGGTAAACCCGAAAAGGCAAGGCCACGGAGTCTCTCCTAGAGCCCTGCCAGCATCTCCAGGTTAGCCCAGACTTCCACCCTCCAGAGCTATAT